AGTAAAACTTAAAACAAAAAAAAACTGTAAAACTTTAGAGTTTAGTTGAGACAGAGAAGAGTCAGAAACAAATCTGGACACGAAAATCTCACCGATGCAATAAAATAAAGAGAAATCTCCACTTTGTTGTGTGAATGAGAGGATTCGTTGACGACACTTTTTGCAAAGAAGAAACTCTGTGGATGTGGCCTTGAAAATGTTTACTAACGATGACACCTACTAGGCTACTACTACTACTAATTCCACTAATCATTTACTAATGCAAGTTGACATTGTGATTAGTCATTGTGTCTTGCAGTTAATAATCTTTTATTAACATTAATCTTTTTCTAATGCAAGTTGCACATTGTGATTACTGAGTCATAGAGTGTCTCTTCAAATTAAGAATCTTTGATGTATTATCTACGGAGGATATTAATTAATAGTGATAGAGATTTTGGAACTCTTTTTGGGAGATTTTGGAATATTTTCATGTTAAAGATTTGTTCAAAGGTTTTTAAGAACGAAGGATAGTCACAAAGGAACAGAGTCTAGACTATATATAAAAGTCGAACATAACCAAAATTCATCAATGCAAATTCCAAAACCTCATTTTTTTTATAATTCAATATAAGAAATTGGATGGTCGCAGTTTTGGTGGCTTTGGTTTGTAGGTTTAGTATTAGAATCATGCTGTTAGTTTGCAAGTACCTCATTATGAGGAGTTACTGGTTACAAGTACCTCATTATGAGGAAGATTACATTTTGGAGCAAAGCTTTGCTAGAAGACCGTCTATGGAGAGTAATGTCCATGGCTTTGGTACTGAAATGAATCGTCTAGACCCGAATATTACTTTGGGCGTCTTGTGTGTTGTTGATGGGTTTTGTGCAGGAGTTGTCTTCACAGTAGAAGACGGCTGTGCAAGCAAGTCCCCGCCTTTCCAGCCAACAGCACAAAAGATAGAACCGCCTCGAGAGACTTTGTCTTGTTACTTCGTCGTTTCAAGTAAAGCTTCGTTTTTTGGTTGTGGTTTGGACTGGATCATAGAGGATCCGTTGACGATCCGACAAGGATCTTTTTCAAGACCCGTTGTGTTCTTTGTTCTAGGAGCAAAGGCAGTAGAAGTGGCGTTTATCGCGGCTTTAGCGTTGGGTGTTTCAAGGCTGGCCTGTTCTTCGGAGTGTAAAGAACTTATCCTTCTTCCTAGTTCTGGTGGTCGAGCGAGTGAGGTTGACGGTGCCTTTGCGGATTACATATTCCAGCGGCTCATTTATCTTACGTGTTTATCTCTTCTTTTTCTGCATTTGGTTGGTTTTTCTGCTTTTGTATCTCCATCCAAGACTATTGCCTCTTGGTTCATCTCCTCAGGTTATGGGGTTTGAGTTTTTTTTAATATATAGTTGGTTTACAAAAACAAAAAAAAAAACCAAAATTCATCAATGCAAATTCCAAAACCTAATTTTTTTAATAATTCAGTATAAGAATTTATATATCGAAATTTTTTTGAACGAAATTACAAAATTCTTCAAGCTCGTCCCATGTTTTTCATAATTGGCTTTGCTTCACTTTTTTTTTTGATATATAAATTCTTATATTTGAACCAAATTATTTCTCTTTTTTTTTTTAAAATTAGGATACATAATTAAATTACAGATTTTTAACTTTTTATTTTTGGCATAAAAGAGTATAAACACTTTGTAGTTTGTATATATGTAGGACTGCGAAATCTGTCTTTTGCAAAGTCACAACAACTTTTGGATTCTGATCTAACAAATATGTTTGTTACTTATGGTAAAATATTGTACAATGTCTCTCATTTGAAAGCTTTGTTGTCTGAACATCAAAATTGTTACTCAGCAGGCAAGTAAGGCTAGTTGATTCTGCAGATTAATATTATCATCAAGCAATACAAAGTAAGTAAAGTAAGCAAAGCAAAACAAAAAAAAATACCAAAACTTTCTGCATATATGTCTATTAACACCTAAAACCTGCAACTACTAATGTACAACTGGAAAATAAAATTAAAATAATGATTAATGTGCATTTTCTTAATGTACCTTGCTTAGTAATTCCAATAATCACAATTAATTCAATCGTGCATACTTAGATAATGATATGACCATTAGGTTTTCCAAAGTAAACAGCAACAAAATATTAAAGCTCCATGTCATATAATCTCTCACTATTGACATCACTGATGTGCAACGCCAACAAAGTAAGAATTGTAACTTACATATATCATCATCAAATTTCCAAAGTGATACTATCCAGCAAAGACTCACAAGTCCAGTAGACCAATTGAGAGATCAAGATTCAAGTTTCATGTGCGCTTTATCCTAACGAAACAGATTAAAGAGCTAATTAAGCCACAGCACCTTCCCGATAGAGAGCTCGAATAGTTCAATGGACAGACTCATAAAGAGAAGTCCGACATAATCACTGAATCTAACGACTGAGCTATACATTGTTTTGCCTAAACGACCTTCTTTTATATATATGGAGGGTTCAGCTACCTACAGTGACTTATTGACTTATTTAGCTAACCAGAGGAGCAACTGTCTTAAAACCATTCAAAAACAGATATAGTAGTTACCTTCTCAAAACAATGAGCTCCATAATACAGGTCTGATTCGTGTTTGTTGTACTTTAGCTTAACCTGAAAATTTAATGAGAGAAATTCTAAGATCTCCAATGGTATTATCATAACATCAAAATTCATCAATGAAAGATATTAATTCAACTCTCCAAAGACTAAGCACATCTCAACTTGCAAAATCCTTGTCCGAGATACTAAACTAATTAACAACAAATGTTGAATAATTACTCTATCTTCTACCTTTGTTTTGTTCATCTGCTTGACTTGGTCTGGTTAATGATGTTATCTCTCAATCCTGCGACGTTTCACAGCACTTTTCATAAACGAAAAGTGAATCAAAAACACGAATTTGAAAGTCTCAATAGCTCTTGATGATTCTTCCTTCTTCTTCTTCTAGACTCTATTTTTGCTGTTCTTTATCTGCAATTAGATTCTATAAAACATTACACAATCTTGTATAAATCTAAAGCTTAATAAAGACGAAAATGGCATGAATTTTCTAACCTCCTCCATTGATTTCCATCTCTGAAGCTCTCATCATCTCTGAACCTCCAAGATTTGATATACCCCGCATTCTCCAACCTTCCATTTGTCATTATTGTATGTTGTAAACTCAAAGAGAAGCTCGGTAGAAGTCACCTCCTCTGTTTCAACTTCAAATGTGTAGATATGCTCTGTTAAAACTTGATCTATGATTTGGCCTCTAGTTGTACACCGAACTTCGAGATCATTCTGTTTGTTCATGATCTTATTATATACATACAACAAATCAAATTCATCAACCGCTTCTTCGTTAATATCAACCAGCATGATGCAAGCCTTAAATCTCAAAGATTTAGGAAGAGACGACTCATTCAACTTAATTGTCAAGGAACCCTCAGCAGTAGCTCGGTGATTGAAGCAGGCAGGCACTTGTGTACTTGGTAACACCGCATATCTAGAAGTGGATGTGTGCATGATGAGATCTCTGGCTTCTTGATTCAGTTTGAAGCAGTTGCTGAACTTCAGACTGATCTTCGGATTGTTAAAGGAACAATCCAGTCTCTCAAGGGATTGACAATTGCCTGCATCTATGTTCCATAAAGAATCTGAAAATTGGGGGAGTGATACCAGATGATTGCAGTTGTGGAGTCTAAGTACTCTTAAACGAGGCATTCCCTTGACACATGGAGGAACTTCTTGTATATCTTCGTTCAACTGCATCCCCGTGATGATGTCAAGAGCATGTGGGAATTCCTTGAGGCTTTCAAAGTATGACATAAGGAAATTAGAAAGACGAGACCACGACAAGATCGACAAAGGAACTTCTTTTATTGCAGTTCCGGTGAGCGACAGATCCTCAATGTTTGTGGAGATCTCAGGAAAACTTTTCAACTGCGAGCAATCTGTGAGATCAAGTAAATCGAGAGATTCTAAGTTGATGTTGGTAGGAAGAGCCTCTAGTTTTGAGCATCCTCTCATTCTCAAATAAGACAATAGCTGAAGGTTCCCTATGGAAGAAGGAAGCTCCACCAGATTTGAACAATTAGATAGATCCAAATCTTGGAGATTAGTGAGATCTCCAATAGAGGACGGGAGATTCACGAGACTTGAGCATCCGCTAACATACAATTTCTTCAGATTTGTGGCAGTTCCAATAGAAGGAGGTAGCTCTAGTAGACTTGAGCAATTACTGAGATTCAATAGGTCAAGTTTAGTGGCATTGATAAAAGACGGGAGTTTCACAAGACGGGAGCAATTTGCAAGTTCCAGTTCCTCCAGTTTAGTTGCATTCTCTATAGAGGGAAGCTCCACAAGATTTAAGCAATCAACGAGATTTAATTTCTGGAGATTGGTCAAATTCTCAATAGAAGAAGGGATTTTCACCAGCTTTGAGCATTCCGAGAGATTTAGTTCCCGGAGATTGGTTGCATTCCCAATAGAAGAAGGAAGCTCCACTAAACTTGAGCATCCTTGGAGATCTAACTCTTCAAGAGTAGTGGCAGTTGAAAGATCGGGAAGCTCTTTCAGATCTTCAGAATAAGACAAATCCATCCACTTGAGATTTTTAAGTTGCTGCATTGACACAATAAGAAAATGTTGACACGATTAGCTTATAAAGTTGGAGTTTGTAAACTAAACTAGAAATTTTAACGGAAACAGAATTCTAGATATATAACCAAAGGTTTTGAAAATTGAAATGTTTTTTTATCAAAATTACTTACTGTAGCTCCTTCCCATAGCTTATGAAGCTTGCTCGATCTCATACATAGTCGGAAGAGAAACTCCGGATTAAAAGTAAATGGCAAACATGTATTTGGAAAATAACTCCAATCCAGAAATCTTATCTTTTGTGAATGATGTAGAAGTAAGTCCAGTCTCTCTGGCTGAGAAAGATCCTCCTTACCATCGATTCTTATGATTTCCAGATCAGACATTCTCTCAATTGCTTTTTGGCTTATATACAATTCTTCTTCGGTTTTAGATAAATCTAAATTTATGCCTATAAAATGCCTATTATCCTGGAAAAAAAGATATATAAGTAAATACAGTCTTATTATATAAAGTTGGATTTTCAAAATTAGTCATTAACAAGATCGTGACAAATGTTACTTGCATTGATAAGATGCTGACACATGTCAGATAATTAGTGGTAAAAAAATATATAAATTAGATTTTTTTAAAAAAAATATTTTCAAAATAGAATCAAGAAAATAAAAAACTCAGAAAATTTAAAAGCTACTTAGTAGTAATCCTAAAGGAAAAAGAATAGTAATTATAAAATAAAATGATTAATAAAAATAAGGTCTAAGAAATAAAAAAAAATTAGCAAATGAAGAAAAAAATACAATAAGTTAGTCAACTATAAGTTAATCTTAGAAATATTTTCATTATCGTGAATACTATGTAATATTAAAATATTTTTATTTAATAAGTTAATCTAAATAAGTTAGTCATTAATATCACATGTGTCAATTGTAGCGATAAGATATCGACATGTGTAAATTTAAGATAAATTAAAATATTTTAAAATTAAATTTATAAACCTAACATAAAAAAAAAGTTCTACATAAGTAATACATATAAAAGTATACCTAATTATAATGGATTTTTTATGTTAATTCAAAAATTCTTACCATGTAAAATTTGGTTTTCACATTACTAACTCACGTGATTGTGATATATGTCAAGTAAGATATTAGATGCTGGAATGCGACACATCTAATTTTTTTAAAAATAGATTAAAATAGAAAATTACAAAAATAATTAAAATATTCAGATGTTTTTACTTATAATTAAATAATTAACCTAATGTTTGGTCATGTCGGTATGGGTTTATCAAAAATATTAGGGTTTAATATTTACAATTAAAATAGATTATATGTCGATTTAGTTTATAAAGAAGGATTAAAGCTTAGCTAAATGTGTTTATTAAATGTTTTTACTTTTTTAATATGTTATTATTGTTTAATTTTTAATTTATATTTACATGTACTATGTCATAGTACAATCTCATTGGCTAAAACAAGAGAGGTGAATAAAAGGGAGCTAAGAAGAGACATTATTAACTTAAAATAAGCATAACATAATTCAAAATAATTTGTAGTATAATGATTTCAAATTTTTTTTCTAAATATGTAATTTTGTATACTTTCATATTTAAAAATTTTTATTAATGCTTATTTCAACGACACTATAACTCATTTTTTGGATTGATGTTAATTTGTAAGAACTTTACCATCAAATTTTGTAATAATTAATTAATTTTAAGAAATACAATAAATTGCAAAGTAAAAAAATATGCGAGGATAGTTTTTTAAAAAATTGGACGTTAGGAAATAACATTTTTTAGGATAATGGTATAATCATGTTTAGGGTATAATATCTAAATTAAGTTTTTTGAAAAATTTGGTAATAGTAATATTGTGAAATTGATGAATAGCTCACATTTTTTTTTGGTGATCAATAATTTAACATTTCTAAATTTTTATAATGAATGTTTAATAACGATTTTAAAATATGTATGATACATAAATAATTTTTCTCAACAAAAAACAATTTACTAATTAAAAAAATTATATATATTTTGAATACTTTGGATATAACATTCTTACAATAACATTTTAATTTTAGTTTTATTTTGAAAATATATTAGAAATTATAGATTTTTAAATACTTTGGACGGGCTCTAATCTATATTAGAAAATATAATATTCAATTAATTTTGATTAATTTTTTTTGTTAATGTTATGATTTTCCAAATTTTAACACATGCAATATTTTTAACACATACGTGAAAACATAAAATTTAACCCGCGTTTTATGTGGGCCCTTATCTAGTTAGTTATAACATAAACACAATTTGTAAAAAGCAATATTGCAACAACATAACTTACCGTTGTATCATTGCTGAGCTCTTCACATATATCTCTTGCACCGACCAAAAGATAATGTTCCCTAAGGCCATGCTGAACAAATTGTTTACGTGAAGTTTCTCTTCCAAATTGCTGTAGTAGATGATGCATATGTATCAATCCGTATTCCATAGATATGAGAGCTTTTTCAGCTAAAACTTCAAGACCTTGCCTCACATCCGAGAACTTCTTTGACAGAATCTCTTCCACATTACGTGGATATAAGAACTTGTCGCTGAAAAAGCAGGCTATATAAAGAAATAAGTATTTGTTTTCTTCATCATCTAAGGCATCATAACTGAACTTCATAATGCTCTCTATTTCTCCATTAAGCTTGGTCTTTAACCTTGGTAGTTTCCTTTCCCACTCTGGCTTGGACTTTCCTTTCAAAGTGGAGCCTAGAATCTTCAAACCCAAAGGGAGTTCACCAGCAAGGCATGCAACTTCCCTAGCAAGCTCATCGAAGCCATCATCTGGGTGCTTATGTCCAAAGGCATGCATACAAAAGATTTGCAAAGCCTCATCACTTGTTGGAAACTTCACTGCGTAAAAATGATTGATCTTAAGAGCTTTAAGAACTCTTAGATCTTCTGTTATAATAATAATCCGACTTCCAGGACCAAACCATCGGGTTTCCTTTGCCAAGGCATTTACTTGTCCTAACCGATCTACTTCATCAAGAACGAGAAACACCTTCTTTTCTTTCAACCATTCTTGGGCCATTCCTAAATGAGAAATCTTGATATCTTTCTGATTCATCATTTGAGACAACATTTGGGTTTGAAGTTGTAACATAGCACTCTGCTCATCCCCACAAGATATTGGAAAGGGGTAGCTTCTTCTAATATCAACCATGATTGCACTACGTTCGAATTTGCTGGAGAATTGGTCTAACATAAATCTACCGATGGTTGTCTTACCAATCCCAGGCGGACCCCAAATCCCAATTATCCTTACCTCATCATCCAAATCTAGACGTAACAACGGTTCCAACCTTTCCATATGATTTCCCATCCCTACTAAACTGTCAAAATCTCTTGACGGTGTCGTGTTATTCAACATGTTTGAAATCTCAGTGGCTAATTTTTCGATCATGGCCGCTTCGTTGACCCTAACATTGGAGGATATTAACATAACTAAATCAATCCAATAGTCTAGTCATGAAAAGTTCTCATATATATAGATCCTAAAGATATGTATTTTCTGTGTTTTGAAATTTTTAAAAGCTACAAATTAACATAGTTTGAACTTTGAACTCTAACTCTTAAGGAAAGTATAAATTAAGAGGACATACCTTCGGTTAAAATGATATCCGGCGATTGTGGCCACATCTTCCAACGCTTTTCTCCATATCCCAGTGCGCTCTTTTGTTTTACCTTTACAAGTTTTTCTGAAGGCTTTTCCAAAATCACCCGTCAGTTTCTTTACTTCAGTTGGTTCCACTTCATAGAAAATAGTCAAGACTATTTTACCCAACTCTTCCCTGCATTTCATGATCTCTGCCAACTCATCAAGACACCACGACGAAGAAGCATAGTTCTTGGAGAGCAATACGATCGCGATCTTTGATCCTTTGATAGCTTTTAGAAGCTCAGGACCGATTGGCTTGCTCCTCAGTATAGCATTATCAATGAATGTGTCGATACCCTTTCTTTTGAATGATTCCAGGATGTGACTAAGAAAGGTGTTTCTGACGTCTGCCCCGTGGAAGCTTGGGAAGACATGGTATTTCCTTTTACGAGACAACGAAGTTGGAGGAGATGGAAGAGATAAAGAAGAAGAAGAAGTACTTTCGTTGTTATCTTGTTCGAATCTGGATTTTCTAAAAAGCATGAAGAAGGCTATAGGGACTGTGACTAGGACAAGGAAAAAAGAAGAATCCATTAGTATGTTGAGTGTTGGAGCAAGATCCTAGTTATGGATGGAGGAAGGATTTTAACAATGAACAAGATGCTCTTTGTAACCGTTGACGACTCTATTGGCAGAGAAACTCCATTGATGTTTCTTGGAAAATGTTTGCTAACGACAAAAGACAAAATCACTGTCCCACAAGGCCACAATGCTCCACCACCATTCACTTAAATTCTCGGAAACCAAATAATGATGATAAGATAAGCATTTCAAACAACAACACCTCTCGTTCCACAATGCTCCACCACCATTCACTTAATTTCTTGGAAGCCAAATAATGATGATAAGGTAAACATCTCAAACAATAACACTTCTCGTCCACACATTCTTTTTTTTTCTCTCTTTCTCTTCTAATAATATTGAATGATAGATAGAAGGGTGAGTTAAAAGTATATACCTAAATAATTAAAAAATTAAGAATCTAGCATCACTCTTTTATTAACTAGTTTTCTCTCCTTATTTTTTATAATGACAAAAATACCCTTCCCGTATCTAACAAATGATTTATCGAGATAATGAAATAAGTATCGAAAATATTATTCATCAAATATATAAGTAAAAATATGTGATAAGTTGGATGAATAACTATTGAATACCACGATAACAAAAAAATATATATCAATAACTTAACTAATATACCGTGTTAAACTATATTGTATCGCGATAAGTTATGATTTATGTGATAAATTTATATTTACCATGTTAACTTATTTACTATATCACATACAAAACATTATGAATTTTATGCTAAACCCTACTATATAATCATGAATATCAACAATAGGAATAACATGTTAAATAATATTATATATCACTAATTATGATAAAATAAAAATATAATTACTCTATCAAAATTGGGTTAGACAATATGGTAAAGATAACAATAACTGTAATGAACAAAAAAAATGAAGACTCATAAATATTACACAACATATTGATCATATTATATCATATTACACAACAATGTTATCACTATACATTATAAGTTATCTTATAACCTCATAGTTATATAGTTAAATTATTGAGAATTTTTGAGAAATACCCCTTTTGGTGTACCCCTTTTTAAAAATACTCTTCTTTTCTATCCTTTTGCAAAAATATCCCTTTCCAAATATGAAAATTTATAAACTTTTATATGGTTGATAAGATACATCAAGATCACCATTACTACTGAGCGACTAAATCTCAATATTTATAAGGTTTTAAAAGATTCTAAACGGCATTTATAAAGTTTTATAAGGTTTTAAAAGGTTTACAAAGTTTTTATAAGGTTTTTAAATAATTTTTAAAAGGTTTTTAAAAGGTAATTATACGGTACTTATGAAATATATATATAACTTTACACACATATAAAGATAATATGTGTTTATAAATATAAGCTTACACGTATTTTTGATAAATTTCAAATTTTATAGTGACTTTTTGATAAAATTATAAAGAGGGGTATTTTTAAAAAGTGGTATTGGGAAAAGGATATTTTTGAAATTCTCCCTAAACTATTTATAGTTACTCATATGTTAACGCTATAAATTATAAATTATTTGATAAATTCATAGTTATCGAGTTAAATTAGGTATTATATGACTGATATCGACTAACTTATATATTAATATGTTATTTTATTATGATATTTAATCTGTTATCGTTAACTTATGCATAAAAACATATAAATGATATATAAAAGTTATTCTAAAATTTTATGAATATCTATTTTGTTATGTGATAAAAGATTTGTTATCCATCCTAGGGATAGTTTGGTCCAATTTAATTTGGGAAGAGAGATAACTAATTAAAGAAAAAGTATGTGTAGATTCTTAATTTTTTATTTATTTGAGTACACCTAGTGTAGTTTCCCTAGATAGAACCCAAATCTCTTCTTAAGAATATGTACAGTTTAACAAGGTTTAGGAAAGAAAAAATAAATGTAAGAGATTCAAGCTTCACATCATTTCTCATACTCTTAAATTGCTAAGATGTTTATAAATGTAGTAAGAGAATAAAAGAACTCTCAGTTTTATGTGCAAAGCTATCAATCTCAATAATAGAAACAACAAAAGTGAGACTCTGAACTTGCAGTATCATCAACTTTACACGGTAATACTGTCCAGCAAAGACTCACAAGCATCTTCAAGCAAGTCCAATACCTGTCAAAAGAAACAGCATATCAAGTTACAGACAAATATTCAACTTTCCTTGTGAGTTTGTCCAAACAAAACAATATAATTCTGGAACTTGAAGGCTACTTGGTGGTGACAATGGCATGCCATTTTAAAGTCTTATAGACTAAAATCAACCATTTGACAGATCTCTAGTGGTTGAATTTCATCTATCTAAACCAATAGTTGCTAGTACTACTCCACAATAAGCTTCTCCAATCTCTAATGGTAATTACCTTTTCAAAACCTTGAGCTCCACCATAATATGGATCAGGAACAAACTTGTCATTGTGTTTCTTGCAATACGAACACATTAGCTTAACCTGAAATTTCAATGGAAAAATGTTCAGAAAATCTCCTAGAAAGAGTTCCATTGTCAAGCAAACAACAACAAACACAAACAGTGGTACCTTCTTATCTGCATCGGGCGGGAAATTCCCTCTGGCTTTCCATACATTATAAGCCTTCAATATATCCTCTGCAAACATCAAACATTCAAACTCATATTTATTTGCAAATTCCTAGTCCTAAGCAATACATTATAAGCCTTCAATATATACTCCTTCTTCTACCTTTGTTCTGTTCATCCATAGCAAGAATGAGATCAAATTCCCTGAAGTCAGATGCTTTTATCGGTCTAGATAATGATGTTATCTCAATCCCTCGACGTTTCGCAGCACTTCTCATTCTTGGATCCGCCATATTCCCCTTTTAGAAGAACAGATTCACAAATCAAAAACTGAACCAGAAACATGAATTTCAAAGTCTCCACTGCTCCTTTACTTCAAAACCAAACCTTTCTACGTCTGTGAAAAGCATCATTCACCAATTGCCCAAATCAAGCATCAATCTTTCTATACAATCCTAAAGTTAGATTATTGTTTTTGTTCATCCCTTTGTAAAGAGAACACTTTCACAAATCAAAAACTAAATCACAAACATAAACTTCAAAATCCTCCATTGTTCCTTACTCCCACCAAATTACATCAACCAAAAACAAAAACCCTAAATCCAAAATCTAACCTTTCTACATCTGAAAAGAATCATTCACTAATCGTTCTAACCAAGCATCAGTCTTCTTCTTACACAACCCTAAAGTTATTATCTTTGAATTCGAAAAGGGAACAAAAAGGAAACGGAACAGAAATGGTAAGTGTACCTCGTGATAATCAATGGTACCAGCGGAATCAATGTTGAATTTGGAATCGAGACCTCTCTTCTTCACAATATCTCTAAAGACACCTTCAGCTGCTGGACTCCGACAGATGTTCCCGAGACAGACGAAAAGAACAGAGTAAGGTTTGGTCTCGCTGCTCTGTTCCGGAGTCGTCGTCTCCATAGAAGATGATGCAAAGCACTTACGGGAATGAGAAATTCTGGGTTTTGTGGCAGAGAGGGGTACAATTGGGAATACAAATAAACGTTCCTACTTGCTTTATTATCAAGTCCGGTGAATCAAGTGCTAGAGATTTTAATCAACAATGCAAAGAAAATAGTTGCAGGTCAAAGGCACTTTTTGGAGTCATCTTGAACCTGTGAAGGTATTATATACTATGAGTATGAGTCCTCTTCCGACGGAGATATGAAAGTGGCTATGCAACAATTTCTTGTTTCTTACGTCTCTTATGAACACCACTCTCGAGTCTTGACTTTATTGGCTATATCATATATACATATGGATGTGAAATACAAGTTCTGTAAAGTTGCTACTAGAACTTCCATGATTTGTTTGTTTCTGTCCTAATGTTGCGCTGTAGCTTCTTTGACAAGTTAGGTCTCATGTGTTCACAATACTTTGTTGATTGTTAATGAAAAATGAGTTACTTATTATATATTAAGCGTATAGGTAGGACTGTACAGTTGTATACGAATATTACACAGATTAAAACAGAGTGGTCTTTTAAAGTTTCTGAGGGATACAATAATACGTGTACGTTGTTTTGAATGTTCTAAGTTATAAATTATACTTGTATTTTCTTTTAGGGTACGTAGTTTCATCACCAAGGTGCAAGGTCTGTCTTATCTCTAGTAACCTTAACGTCTCACTCTCATCTTTTTTTGCCCACTGCCTTTAAAGAAAACATGCTGGTTTCTTGCTTCTTAGGTCACTTATAGAATCACTCTTGACGTTTCTGTTTATCAAGACCATATACGGATAATGGATGTGAATACGAGTTTGCTAAGACAAATCTTTACTTAAAGCATATCATCAAAAGTACTTCGGTTCTTCCCTGTTTTGATTAGCATTCACATTGTTTTTTCAAAAGGTAAGTTTATTAATGTTTTGGGCTACGATATGTGAACTTTCATGATTTGTTTGTTTCAGTTCTTATGTTGTGTTGTAGTTTCTAGTGACAAGTTAGGTCTCATGTGTTCAGTTTGTTGATTGAGAAAATGACAAATGAGTTACTTACTTATGGTAGGATTATATTATACAGTTGTATAGAATCAGAATGTTACAAAGAATTAAAACAGAACAGTCTCTTAAAGTTTCTGAAGAAGAAAGAAAAATATTTGAACCGAGTTTTGCAATTATGCAATTGCAAAATATAATAGCCCATTTTCAAAAAGATTCGACAACCTCTATTCTCAATTCATAATTATGTAAAGATTTGTTTTGATCGTTTTCTTTTTTTGCTAAGATCCTTAATATCAATAGAAATGAACTTAAAAGGTCTTACAAAAGCTTTACCTAGAGTAAAGTATTACAATAAAGGTGTCACTGAATCCATCGGAGCATTAGATGCCTTTAAGCAGTGTTGGTGTTGCACACCTCACGGTCTATGATTTCTTTGTTGCATGTAGTTTGGTCTCTGTTGTATTATACTGTGTCCTTCTCACTTGGTTATAGTCTCATATGGCATGAGACGTATGTATTGGCAACAAGTTTAGTGTTATGTTGCTAAAATGTTTAAACTCCAAGAAAAGCTTCTCTTGTCCTTTTTAGTTTGAAGTTTATTATTACTCTTTCGATTTCAGAAAAGATCAACAAAAAAAATCTTTGGATGTTGGTTTTATATATAGCGTAAACAAAAATTGCAGGTATGTGGTTTGGTCTCGTTGTGTTATTCAAAAAGATTTTGCTTGTTGCAGGGAAACTTACTGTTCCTTGCTTTGTAATTCCAATAATCAGAATCATATCAATCGTGTTTATCAAAGTAAACACCAACAAGATTTAAGCTTCATATTATCCTAATCTCTCACTATTGGCATTCACTGATGATGTCTAAAATATAATAATAGAATTTGCAATTTTATGTCCAACAAAATGAGACTTGTAACTTACGTATATCATCATCAACTTTTCCACAGTGATACTATCCAGCAAAGACTCACATAGTCACATGCATCTTTAAGCAAGTCCAGTACCTGTCAGCTACCCATAGTGACTTATTGACCTACAATTATCTGCAACTAAATGAGCTCTAAAATGATGCTTATTGAGTTAACCAGAGGAGCAACTATATATCTAAAACCATTCAAAAAGAGATATAATAATTCTTTAATAGTTATTACCTTTTTAAAACCATGAACTCCACCCTAATTTTACAGGTTTGGATCGTGTTTGTTGTACATTAGCTTACCCTGAAAATGCAATGAAAGCATTTGTAAAATCTCCAAAAAGAAACTCCAAAGACCAGCAAACAACAACAACAATTAAACACCAATGATGACCTTCGTATCGAAATTCATTAATAAAGAATATTAGCTTCATCTCAACTTGCAAAATCCTTGAATAATTACTCTTAATTTCTTCTACCTTTGTTTTTCTCATCCATTGCAATAATGACGTTATCTCTAATTTCGATGACCTTTATCTGCAATTAGTTTCAATTAAAGATAACAATACAGAGTCTTATATAAATGTAAAACTGGCATAAAAGTTTCTAACCTCCTCCATCGATGCCCATCTCTGATCGAAGCTCTCATCATCTTCGTTATTAACACTAAGGAGCCTCCAAGATTTGATATACCCCGCATTCTCCGATCTTCCAGTTGTCATATGTTTTGGTTGTGAACTCAAAGATAAGCTCGGTGGAAGTCACATCCTCTGCTTCAACTTCAAATGTGTAGAGATGCTCTGTTAAAAGTGGACCTATAAAAAGATCTCTAAGTGTACGCCGAACTTTGAGATCGTTATGTTTGTCTATGATGTCTATTTTTACAAACATCGAATCATGATCATCAACTGTTTCTTCATTAATATTAACCAGCATGATGCAACCCTTCAATCTTAAAGATTTAGGAAGAGGCGACTCATTTAACTTGATTGTCAAGGAACCCCCAACAGTAGCTCGGTGATTGAAGCAAGCAGGCACTTGTGTACCGGGTAAGATCGCATATATAGAAGTCCATGTGTGCATGATGAGGTCTCTGGCTTCTTGATTCAGTTTGAAGCAGTTGCTAAACTTCAGACAGATCTTCGGATTGTTAAAGGAACAATCCAGTCTCTCAAGGGATTGACAATTGTCTGCATCTATGTCATAAATAAGGAATCTGAAAGTTGCGGGAGTGATACCAGATTCTTACACTCGTTAAGTCTAAGTTTCTGTAAACCAGACATCCCCTTGATCCATGCAGGAACTTCTTGTATATCTTCGCTTACCAAATGCAACTTCGTGATGATGTCAAAAACATGCGGGGATTCACTAAGGCTTTCGAAGTATGAAATCTGAATCTCAGAAAGACGAGACCACAACGTGATCGACAAAGGAACTTCTTTTATTGCAGTTCCTATAAGCTTGAGAACCTTTATGTTTGTCGAGATCTCAGGAAAAGTTTTCAACTGCGAGCAATTAGTGAGATCAAGTATATAGAGAGATTTCAAGTTGATGTTGGTTGGAAGAGCCTCGAGCTTTGAGCATCCGCACATCTGTAACGTCCACAATTTTTGAAGGTTTCCTATAGAGGAAGGAAGCTCTACCAGACTTGAGCAGTTAGATAGTTTAAGCTCACTGAGATTAGTGAGATCTCCAATAAAGGACGGGAGTTTCACCAGACTTGAGCTTCCACTAATATCTAATACCTGAAGATTTGTGGCTGATCTAATAGAAGAAGGCAGCTCTAGTAGCCTTGAGCAATTATTGAGCTCCATTATGGAAAGATGAGTGGCATTCTCAATAGCGGGGAGCTCCTCGACAAGCGAACAATTTCTTAGATACAAATGCTTGAGATCAGTGGCATTGATAGAGGATGGGAGCTTCACAAGACTTGAACAGTTATTAAGACTCAGTCGCTTAAGTTTGGTTTCCATTCCAATAGAGGGAAGCTCCACAAGATTGAAGCAATCAGAGAGATCTAGTCTCTTGAGATTGGTTGCATTCTCAATTGAAGAAGGGATTTTCACCAGACTTGAGCACCCTTTGAGATCTAAATTTTTGAGACTGGTGAGTTTTTCCAATAGAGAAGGGGAGCTCCACTAAACTTGAGCAAATTCCGAGAATTAATTCTTTGAGATTTGTGGCGGTTGACATATCTAGAAGCTCTTTCAAATCTCTAGAACCACTCAAATCCATCCACTTGAGATTTCTAAGTTGCTGCACAGAAAAAATAAGAAAATGAAATTATATATCAGTTTGGTTTATAAAAGAGTGGTTAGACTTGTAGTTTTTTTTTTTTTAATCTTTAAATATATTATAACGTGATACATTACTCTATTTTTTAATTGGTTAAGACAATGTGGCGTGGACCTAAGTATTGTCTGTTTTTTTTATGAAAACAAATTATAAAAATAAATATTGGAAGTTTTCATCAGATTACTTACTTTAGTTCCTTCCCACAACTTTTGAAGTTTGCCGTGGCGCATAACTAGTTGGACGAGAAACTCAGGATTAAAAGTTGAAGGCAAACATATATTCTGGAAACATGTCCAATCCAGTAATCTAATCTTTTGCGAATAATAAAGCAGTGATTCCAGTCTCTCAAGATTACCAATGATTCTTACGAATTGGAGATTAGACATTCTTTCAAGTGCATTTTCACTTATACTCAATTCTTCCTCAGTCTTAGATACTTCCAAATTTATACCTATAAAACGACTACTATCCTGACAAAAAAAAGAGACAAAAAAAATATAAGTAGAGATGGTTAGTTAACCAATAACTCAGTGTAGTGGGAAAACTTACTATTGAATTGTCACTTAGAAGTTCACATACATCTCTTTCACCAACCAAAAGCTGACGTCTCGGAGTGCCATGCATGAATCGCTTACGAGAAGTTTCTCTTCCGAAATGTACTAACAGAGTATGCATATATATCCGATTATAATTAATAGATATGAGAGATTTCTGAGCTAAGACATGAAGACCTTGGCACACATTGAAGAACTTATTTGCAAGAACCTCTTCCAATTTCTGAATTCTTGGAAACTCTAA